GCGCGCGCGTGATGTGTGCGCGCGTGCATGCGTGTGCGTGCGTGTGTGTGTGTGTGTGTGTGTGTGTGTGTGTGTGTGTGTGTGTGTGTGTGTATAGCGAATTAATGAATTGATATAATTTTGCAGCCAAGTAAAATGAAAACTGGTGGATCTATTAATAAATCATCCAATTTAACATCCAGTACAATTGGTAACCAAGTTAATAAATCAGGATATCCTTCAAATGCGATCTCTAGTTCATTGGTTCCTATACGCTCCTCCATGAAACTTACGGGTGCTTTTTCTACCTCTTTGCCACGTGCGACAGCCCCTAGACTTATGGCGGCAGGTAATGTAACAATGATAATATAAATATTATCAGTTGCAACAAACTTTTATCACTTTTATTTTAGTTTGATTTACAAACTTTAATCAGTTATAAAGATCAAATATTTTATAAAAACAATTTGTCTTTTAAAAGACACATTTCTGCAAACCTAAAACGCCTTTTTGTTTACAGCTGAAAAACGTGCACAAGCCGTAGCCGCTCAAATGGCATCTTCATCAAATACTAAAACAACAATGTCGTATACCAGTGCAATCATGACAGCTGGTAGAGCAGGGACGAAGATTGTTACAAGCAACACGACGCAAACATTCGCGGCGAAATTATCCGAGATCACTGCCTCGACTCACAGTTCTACCACTGTCATGCAATCCACTCACACCACACCGGTAAACAAACTACAGAAACCTATGGCACAAGCTGCGACTATGACTGTTATGTCAGCCACGTCTGTGGCGACCGTTCATAATACAACCAGCCAGCAACAGCAGCAATCCGTAGTCAGTACATCGCCAAAACACTGCCGATCACTGCCTACTTTATCCGCTACACCAGTGATAGCATCTCACTATGCTGGCAAGTCGGGTTACCCTCCTGGAACCATTTCGTCATCATCGGCCACAAATGCTATGGTGGCGACGAATTGTCCGGAGAGTTCGGTCGTCTCGACGTCAGCCAATTCTGTTCGAGTAACACCCTCACCACCAGTTATAACATTGCAAGCACAAACATTACCGCTGCCACCGCCGTCCACGGCGCAACAACAGCAACAACAATCATCGCAACAACAATCGCAGCAGGGTACTCGCAGCACTACACCAGTCGTAATCCAAGAGCATCAACAGCAGCAACAACAGCAACAACAACCTAGTAGCACGCCTCTCGAATATTCTCTGTTTAACGATACTTTTACCAAAGTCACGCAACAGTCAATGTGGGGAGGAAGAGAGAACGAAACTCAAAAGGGTATGAACTTTGCTACTGTTGCGGGCGGAGGTGTATCGTCGAACGCGAATTCCGGGCCATCTGCGGCTAAGTTTGACAGTTCTCCACCGCAGGTACATAAAAGTCTGTTTATCTGTTTGATATTTATTATACGAGGATACATACAAAGTAATGTTATTCTTAGAAAAAAGTTCTTTTCTCATTAATTTTAAATTATAAAATTTGACAAAATCGAGAAGTTGTATACATTTTTTTTTTATTACATTGTGTATCTCTTTATCTCATGATTTATATAAAAAAACAATCATTAAACATTTAAAGTTCTATCGAACACAGGTGGACGCGTCCAAAGCTCCGGGGTACCGCGGTACAGCGATGTGTTCCCCGGTTTCTAGTAAGCCAAGTAATACGCCGGGCAATGCATCGACCAACGTGATTGGTAGCGTAGTATCGTGCTCCGTGCATAATCCTATGCAACCTACGCAGTTTCAATCTTCGACGAGCTATAGCGAGCACCCGCTACCAAACAAGCCGCCTGGTAGTCTAGCGGTAGCTAGACCAGTGATGCCTCAGCAGAACATTGACATGGGAACAGGTATGGCGGTACAGTTCAATAGGCCAGCGGTCTTTCAGGGTGATTTGACAACGCGGAACGCGACAACCCATCAGCCAACAACGCACGTGATACCTTCCACGTCGCAACCAGGATTGGACGTAGGCCTGTTCAAGGCAGCGAACAGCAGTGGCGGCGGCTATGAGCATCCGAACGTAAACTCCAGTCTATTGAAAATGGTGCCAAACGAGAGCCAGAGTGCTGGTCATCCTCTGTTACCGTTTCACCCTCACATGCAGAGTTTCGCTCAGACTATCGCGCCGTCCGCCTCTGTGATTAATACCACCGTTAGTATGTCAAGATTGAATCCGCGTGCTCCCGATTTCTCTAGCTCGCTTCATCTGAGTAATAAGCCACAAGTGACAATGTTCAATGCCGCTGCTGGGTCAGCGGGACTGCATCCGGCCAATATGTTTGCCGCTACTGTACCGGCGCCACCGCCATCCGCGATACAATCTAACAATCTGGCAATGCTTGGCAATTTCCCGTTGGGAAAATATCAAGCACCCACGCGGGTAACTCCGACGGCGAATACCGCCGGTATCTCGACGACGGCACAGACGACCCGCTGGCCATTTGCAGCACCGGCACCGCATACCAACTATCCGCCGCACCAAGATCCCATAATGAGCCAGATCAGCTTTTCCAATCATCTGGCCAACATCGGCGGTCAGCCTGGCGGGAGCATCGATTTGATTACGAGCTTAGAGAACGGTGGCTCGCCGGCCATATCTCCCTCATCACCAGCGCAAGTTGCTCAGGAAATGAATCAGTTGAAGATCGAGGATCGCAAAGTCCCACGACCGATCGGTACCGAAAGAGCTACGTGGAAGAATTACTCAGCTGCAGGCATGGGTCCGGGTGGAGATGCCGATTCCATCAGTTGGATGCTCAATGAGAAAGGGCTAGGTTGGCCCACCAATTGCAATTTGGCACCTGGTATCGACAGACATCAGATATATCGATCGAATCCCACTTATAACCAGCGTATATCCAATGTCGATCCCGAGCTTCACCAAATGATGGAATCTTCCTTCCAGGTAAGTATCGATCTTCTCATGTGATTACACGATTTATTTTATTTATGACTTATATTTGAATGATTTATTTTTGTATTATTATTATGCATCAAAATAATCTATGATTTTTTTATCTAATATATTTACTACAGTACATTTATTAAAAGCAATAAAAAATTCATACAAGTTGAAGAATTTACTTTGTTAAAGATCTAAAATTCCCTGATTTGATTCTATGATGATTCTTGTCTGTACTTTTGTATGAATTTATATGATCTTTTCTTCGCACGAAACAACTTTCTGATCATCTTGTTTGTAAAAGAATTAAGATAAAATAAAAAACTATATATACGAGAATATTCCATATTTTATTTAATATATTGTATAAAATATGAAATATCTTGTAAAGAGAGAAGAGTATTTACTTGAGAAGAGTGTTTACTTAATAATCTTCATATTTTTTTGAATGCTTTTATGGAAAGAAATATTGATGTTCATTATATTTTCGAATAAATGTTTTTTGCATAAACAATTTTTCTTTAATATACTGAATCTGTAGTTGTATTACGAAAAATTGGCGGCTAATAATAGTGAGCTTTGATTATTATAATAGTAACTTTAAAATGGGATAATAATGAATAGAAATAAATGTGTATTTGATTTGGATGACATTCAGGTTCATAAGATTTTTACCATTTACTATTTGCACACGCATGTAATCACCTTTATCGTGTACAGGGCCATGTGGATACCCAACAACCTTTCCCGGCTAACGGAAATGCCGCGGCATTGTCACTTATGCCTGGATTAGCGTTATTGCCGGGACAGTTTGGAGCACCTGGCCTCGCAGAAATCCCCCAAAATGAGCCAAACAAGATCGATCCACCTGCGTGGGGAATGCCTGATGCTGTGCAGGATAAGCAACATCCAGTAAGATCTCTTTGCTTTGAATTCGAAATTGTTTTTTTTCTTTTTTTAAAACTGGAAGACAATGTGATAATGCTATCGCGAAAAGCTATGATTTATATTAACTTTGTTTATTTGCAGACGTGGACTAAGTGGACTCACTAGAGGAGCCAATCGTGCTGACACAGCTACACCCTCTGATGATGACTACTATTTCACATTTCCAAACTCTGATGATGAGAAATTATAAAATAGTAATAGCGATAGTCTGGATCAATTATTTGTAGGCGCATAAATTGTATTACGATCTTATTATATTCATTCAAATCTGGATTCTTTTAATGTTACTTGTTATATTAGAAAATAAGGTGATAAATCCTTAATTAATCAAGTTATCGCTATCACTAATATATCTCCTGAGTTAATTGCAGAATGTAAGGAGTATGCGAGAATGAAAGAAGAGAGAAAGAAAAGCGGTATTGATTAAGGAAAGCAACATATAACATGATGGATTATTATCTCGAATTTATTTTTTCTTTTTTTTTCTTAGCCGTGATGATTAGTATGTTCCGCTATCAATTATTGATCAGCAGAAACATGCTAGTTCATTGATAATCAATATGATATACATGATATTTTTTTTTATCATCGGGAATAATTTGAATTCGCAATAGAACATCTCGATACATAATCGTCAGATGCATCATAATGATCCAGATAACCCATGAAAAATTTACATTCTGCACCTCCACTTCAGCTTCTTCATAGCGATAAATAATGTGTGTTTAAAATCGTGTTGATGATTAATTTGAATTATATCATTCGAAATGAAACTTCAGGTTACGATTGATTTAAATTATGAGTTACATTGAGGATAGCTGTGCTCTTTAGCACCTACCGAACGATAGATGACGAAAATTACGTGTTACTATTTAAAGCGCTGTAAAGAATACGCTATAATCTTACGAGCATGATACAATCGTGTAAATAATTGCTTCGCAAAACGGGTGATTCCGATTACTTCCATGCTGCAAATTAAGACCGAAGAAAAAAAGAAGACCGAATGAAAAGGAAAAAGAAAGATATGGAGGAGATCTTGGGAACCATTGGCTACATCGAACCTGGATACATATTACTCTTCTTCCACTTTTGCACTTACGCTTCATCACTCTTAATCCGCGGATTCTGGTTGTTGCTTCTAAACACTAAACAGATTCCCAAAACAGATATCTAGTAATTAGAACAAGAATAAAGAAAAAAAAAAGAAGAGAGCATTCTTTCGTTATAGATCTTCGTTCATCGATTATGTGTAATCGTATTTGGAGAGCGTCCATTGTTTCGTAGAAGATGGATTGTATAGATCTTTTGTCCATCAGTATATCACATATTGATGATGTATTAAATTGGTCGAAAATATGAACAGAATGAAGACAATGAGCAACAGTGTTTCAACATTACACAAATCAAGATTTTTTTGTTGCCCAGCCGCTTTAAAATAAATAAATTTGCATTTTTGTTTCATAGATGTAATTCTTCGTCTTCAGCTAATTAATGATTGCCGTAAAGAACCGTGCTATTTCAGGCAGATTAATCGGACACAGATTATCATGATCGTAGTGAATTTTTATCGAGCTCACACAACACGCAAAACACGATAGTTATATACGTACCGTACACTACGCGTAAAATGACCAGGTTCTCGAAATCGAATATGTAAGCATTACAAGAAATGTCATGGGAGTCGAATACACAATGTACTAATAATATATATATATACCGAATCCTATTCAGATCAATGAATACAGTTCATTGTTAAAGTGGTAGTGGGCCGCCAACGCATGAAGATATAGCCGTGCGTCCCTAGTGCGACAGTGCTATTATAATATTATTGCTGTGGTGGTGTAATAATGTTTATTATTATATTATGGTTATTATTACACGCAAAACGTAACTATAGGAAAGAAAGAAAAAAAGAAAAAAACAAGATAGAGAAAGAGAGAGAGAGAGAGAGAGAAAAGAAAGAGACGTCCACCCCGCTCTATACATCTCGGCTGGATTTAGTAATGATATAATATTATATAGATATACACAAAATACACACTCGGATATATGAAATGTTCATTTCGATTGAACATTTGAAAATCTTTCTTGGTGGGGATTTCGGCAAGTGTTCAATACATAGCGATGATATACTGTAATTGAAACGGTCCCCACGCGCGTAAGTTTCAATGAGATGATTACAATGATAATGATTATAATGATGATGAAGATATGAAGCTCATGGAAATCGTACGAGGGCTTTTTGACCTATTCCAGGGAGCGCTTCAATTATTCTCTAAGAATATATTGTTATAATTTAAAGCCTATTTTCAAATTTGATTTATGATAACTGCGATATATGATATAAAACTATTATATGACATATAACAATAAAGCAAATAAATAAATATAACGACGACGAATTTATTATGGTCTCTTCATTGTATTTACCGTCCTGATATATGTTTGTTCTTTAAAACTTTTATTTCTTTTACTGACATAAGTCATACTGTTTAACTTTAATTTTTTTCAATGTTCCTATTTTGATGAAAAATTAAATGGCTAAAATTTTCGTTGTTCATAAGTCTCTAACTTTGAATATAGAAGATTTGCAACAATCGGTAGATTTAAGAGTATATTAAAGTTACAGTTGAAACTTATCTTTAAGTTTAACTAGTTAAAAATTTAGAAATTTTATAATTACTAATTACTAATTTCAATAATTGAGAAGAGAATTACATAAGGTCGTTGTATTGGATGTACAAATTATATGTCATACAGATGTCTTATGAAGGAAATGCTATTTCCAAGCCAAGAAAATTTTATATTAATATTAATACATGCTTAATAATAATAATAAATTTTTACGAAACATAATTTATTCTTTTTAATTAAATTAAAAATATACGTCTAAATTTTTACAAATATGTAATACCATTATATAATTTGAACTAATTTTGATAATATAATGATAACATTAATCAATTTTTGTGTAAATATAACTATGCGTTTAAATTCTTTTATAATTATATTAGTTGAATATAATAATTTATTTTTTTCTGTTATGTTTATAGCAAATTTTGTATTTTCTGGTGTTTCAAATCTTGGAAAATAATTTTTCTTCAATCTATTAAAATTTAATAAATTACATATTTATGCAAATGTATAGAAACAAAATAAACTTATTTTATTTAACCTGTTAGGTTTCATTATTATTCATTAAAATTTCAATTTAAAAGAATTGATATTTCAGAATTATTATCCTGTTTTCTCATATTCTAGGTTTTTATGTGATTTCAAAATATGTTTTTAAAACTATCCGTAATTTTTAAAAAAGGAAAAGGAGGGAACATTGAATTGAAAAATTGTGAAAAAGAAAATAAGCACAGTTTATCATAGAAAAATGTTTAATTTAAGAGATAAGCTTATACGTTAGTAATACCAAAAAAAGAAAACAGAAAACTTACAACGTTTTTAATAGAGAACATTTTTTCGTAACAGTCATTTTTTTTACATTAAATAACAAATTATAAAAAATTCAGGACTTCACACTATTTTATCGCATCAGTCTGGAAATTTTAAAATTGTCTCAAAAACTGTTATATAATTATTATAAATTAGTTATCATTTCAAATCTTCAAGGTAATTTTTTTTATTTTGTCAGATTCGGCTAATGCGATAAAATCCGCGCAATTTATTGTACAATAAAAATAATAAATATTTACATATGACAGCATATTTATACAGAAAATCAGTACTGCGCAAAAAAGTTGGTATTGATTGTCAAATCTTCATGAGTTGACAGCTTTCTTTCTGTCTACCTCTCTTTCTTTCTCTCTCTCTCTCTGAATCGACTACACATAATCATTACTACGGATTGTTATATATAAAAAAATATATTCGTATAAAATAAATATATAATTACATGACGATTGACATGTTTTACAATCACATAACATTAGACTATCTTTTAAGTAGCTAGGGCATAAGTAAAATAAGTAAGTAGAAACGTGAAAAAAGAAAATCGAAAAACTAATTTGCGTTGTAAATGGCTGACAATTGTAACATTATACAATTTCAGAAACTAATTTACCCAATGGACAATCTTACGTATGGTGTACTTAGTCGATCACAGAGAGTCCAAGTTCCCAAGAATTTATGGAATTACGCGCAAGTGGGGAAACCAAAAGTTTACTTATTTACGACTGTGTGGCGTATGCATATGTATATACACTCGCAAATACATGTATATGAAATAAATAAAAAAACGAAAAGATCCACGAAATAATATCTAATATCTGCTTCCTATTTTTCAGCAAAACAGTGATAAATAAAGCTATTTGTACAAAGCGCACGATATAATCTTTTCATAATCTAATCTTATAAAACTGTTTCTTACTGTAAGGAATAAAACTATTTCGGGATGACAGCCAAGTCCTTTACGAATCCTTCTTCCACAAAATTGTCTCTCTTATATAGCGGAATAATGAAAAATAAAATCTCTTACGTCGCGTGATTAGAAGTATATTATATTTAAGTTTACTTATTCTGCAATTTATCAATCAATCAATCAATCAATCAATCAATCAATCAATCAATCAATCAATCAATCAATCAATCAATCAGTCAATCAATCACTTCCTACACATACACACACACACACACACACACATGCGCGCGCGTTTTTATATATTTCACATTTGCAATTGTTTCAAACATTACTTACACAATGCGGCTGCATTGAATTAAAATAAGTTTACGTCCATTATAATTAATATAAGAAATTTGCACACACAACCGTTTTTCATTTCTTATAGAATATAGATATATGCTGCAATAATAACTTTGACAAAATTGTTCGTCCTTTATATGTGCGAACACCCAACATGCATGGTATGCATACGCAATGTTTTAACAAACTTTCGTATTTTTCTTTGTTCCATCATGTTGCATAGTTCTTTCGTACAATTCAAGTAGACTGTCAACATGGTTGACAATATGATAGCAACATTATTGAGGACAATTTGTCAAAGATTATTGCGTCATTTTCTTTTAATCTTGTAAATTCGCTATTCTATCTTTTCTCTGGCTCATATAAAAATAACACGCAATGCGAAGCTATCCAACATTGCTTTGTACATTCGCCCGTGCTCCAATAAAACAAAGTTGAACTTAACAAATCTAAGGAGAGTGTTCTCATTGTCAAACTATGACGATTATCTGTGTCTATTGTGAAAAGTAACTTAACGTAGAATACGAATGCGATTATCGACACGAGTCGACAGAGGATTTCACAAGACAAACGACAAATTTCTTAATTATCCAAAACTTGATCTAATTGTACTCATATGATAATCCTTGTTAAAACTTATTATAAAAAGAAAAATCGCGCGTTTGAAAAAAAGAGAATAATCCTATTTCACTCCAAGTATACGAAAGTGTAAAAAAATTAATCCTTTTTTCGTCAAGTCTGTAACGAAAGAACACTAGCGAGTCTATTCGTAACGACAGAAATAGCGATGCGAGTAATAATAAAACTTATAACATTAGTGTTCAATTTATAATTAGCATTAGTTTATAATTAGCAGTACCAACGTACGATTTATCCGAATGCTATTTATCATCGGACAAAGTGTCATTTCTAACGTTGTCAATCAGTGTTAAAGTTTGCAAAAGAACTATTCAGCATCTAAGCTCTACTCTAAATTAACACTTCGACATCGGCCATATTACGAGACCTTACTCACGTACCTTAAAGTGCGATTACATTAATTTTGATAATAAAATAATAGCATAGATAATTTTCATATAATGCATCAATAAATCCATTAATTTTAGCTGCATTTTACAACACTTAGCGTTCTGTTTGCTTCATCCAAGCGTGCACGTATCTGATGTTTTTGGTTTAAATGCAGAGAGTGTAAGATCACACAGCTGAAGACAGTAGATACACTGTACTATTGTTTGAAACATTATTTCACTTTACATCAGACATAACAATTTTCTAGTTTTATCATCCTGTGCTCATTAATTAATCTCGTATTTACACATTACGTTTAATTAGAAATGTAATATAATTTCTTCTAATGTCAGTTTGCTCTCATCTCATTCACAACAAGAAGAGATGTGCTCTAATATGTACATTTTACACGTACGAAGATTAAATATATTGCGATAGAGAAGAAATAATTATGAGTAGCGTGTTAAGCTAAAAACAATCTCGACCATTTCTATGTAATCTTCATGTAGATCGTAAGGATCGTAGACAATTATCAATCGTGCCATTAAAACGCGAATATAAGAGAGTGATACATTTCGTATATAATACTAACAATGCCTTATGTACATAATCGTGAGCATTAGCAAGTTAGTAATTACAAGTTAAACAAAAAAAAAAAAGAAAAAAGAAAAAAAGAAAAAAAGAAGAAAAAAAAAAGAGGAATTTTGTGTAAGTAGATCTCAATTCGTGTAATTTAAAAATGAAATATTAAAAAAAATCTCGACTCTGAATTATATATGTAGTCGCGCACATATTTTGTATATGCTCGTTGCCACATTTCTGCAAAGTAAATCTTTGCAGGAACTGTAAAGATTTCTTACTCGTGATTATTGAAATGATTGATGTCTTGGAAAAACTGAGAAATATAAATCTATAAAAATGCATTAATCATTGTATTCAAAGCAAAGATTATCTTTGATAACTTGCATCGAATTTTGCATTGAATCCCTCAGATCTGTGGTCAATGATTCTCGACCATATTTACGTAAACATGAATTTAAATATATCATTCACACTAGTTGTTAATTTAAACTTATGATTCTATTTCTGATAGTTACGAAACAAAAAATCACTTAACTTTAATCAAGCAGTGCAATTTAATAATGCTTAAAAATATCACATTGATTCTTATATAACATGCAAATTAATTTCTTACAAATTTTATTCACATTATATGTTATAATAATTCTATTATTTTAAAATGTTACTTTTCTCAAGATTTTAATTATTTAGATATGTATATCAAATAACATATTTATCCAAATAACATGTTTATAATATATTTTATAATCTTTTTAAATAATTATTAATCTTTCCCTTTAGTTACAAACTTATTGGCATATTTTTTCATAATTTCTACTTGGAAAATGTGCCGTTCAAATATTGAGAAATATATCATTGATAAAGAATATGTAATTAAAATAGATATTCTTGAAATATAAATCATTTGTTTAAATATATTAGTGAAAGAGTCATAGAACTTTCATATTATGAGTAAAATAAGAAAATGACAATGACTGAACTGTATTAAAATATCTTCTTTTCAAGAATCATTATTAGAATAAATTTATATCTGAATAAATAACGAAACTAAAGCGCAGCTAGATCATTATAATGTGAATAAGGTCTTTTCTTATAGTTTTTGTGATAGCTTCTTAGTATAAAATTGAGAAATAATTCGTAACTATTTTAACCTACTTTATACAAAATTCACGTCAAAATTACATAATGTTGTTCTTGAATGAAAACGAATCAAATTATTTTTTCTTTGATATTTAATAAAGAAATTTATTAAGTTTATTAGGTTTACTCAATCAGCAGCATTCTTTGCGGATCTGCATACGTCTGCGTATTTCATAAAATTCTCATGAATAATAATGCTCCATTGCATTGCAGCATCTTGGATATATAACGACTGACTGAATAAACTTTATTTAATAATTTCTTTATTAAATATCGGAAAAAAGTAATTTAATGGATTTTTCGAGATATTCTGCAATCAGGAATAACATTAAGTAATTTATCATAAACTCTGAGACAGCTTGTATTAGACACCGTTTAGTGAATTATTTTGCTTCGTAACTAAACCGGAAAAATTGCACTATTTGCTTATTACTTATATGCATGATCGCAATCAATCCTGATAAAGATGGATAGAATTACATCAAAGCTAATCCGCTATATCCGAACATAATTCCAATTCAATGTTGTGTAGCATAAGAGTTAAGAATCGTCCATTTTGAGTCATTATTTTGACCATCAGTGTCAGCGTCAGCATCTGCACTTTCCGATAGATCATCGTCTGCACCTAAATAAATATAAAAAAGTAATATTTCAAATAAAATACAATATGAAATGCGACTTACTATAATACTTGAAATTTACAGATTTCGATTTCTTCCTCTTCATCTTCTTCTTCTTCTCCTGAAGAAGAATCACTGTCACTATCTGTGCTCTCGGAATTTACCGAAAAGGAGCATTGATCGTATTTCTCAGGTTCGGCATAAATCTCTGCGCCAGGAAAAATGTACCTGCCCGGCGCCAATTGGTAATATGAATTTTCTATAAAAGATTGTAACCATGTTAATATGTTATATATTTATAAAAATGCCAAAATATTTATGATATGCAAAAGTGTACAATAAATTTATACCTGGTAGTCGAGTAGCAAGACTTTCTCGAATCTTTGGTTGCCAGCAATGTCTCTCTGGTCTTCTATTTTTCAATTCGGCGATATCAAACTTTTCTTCTGTGCTATCAATGCTGTTACAACTATCGCCTATGCCGGAATCTAATACAGAGTCTACCGATGCTTGTCTCGGTTTCGCTATCATTTTGTCCGACTCGACGGTATTTACCATTGCGTTGTTATACTTGTTTGATTTTCTATATTTGTTCAGCGATTTGTGCGACTCCAGAGTATTTTCGCTTATTACAGCTTCCGAGGAAAGGGATAATATTGTCGGCACTACCTGACATTCTTCTGAATTATTTTCAAACACAGATTTTGAAGACATAACATGAAGTTCACTCTTTGATGATATTGTGCACTCGACATTCATTTTCGTTGATGTTGAACTTGTGCCTCTCGTCTCGTGTGTGTTGCCAAAGTTCATTCTTTTCGGGCTATTCTCTATACTAATGTCACCCGATCGTCTTTTCGGACTTTCTCCTAGAAGATTCAAGCTCTCCTCTGAATTTTCCATGTAATCATCATGTAAAGATGATACGCAGACATTGATATCTTCTGTGTGTTGTGGTATGGCATTTGTAGAAATCGAAGTACTATCCTGACTTTCAATTGAAGATACATTGTGAGGTTTTAAATGGACTTCTACACTATCGCGTGATGCTTCAGTATTACTTGTCGTATCTTGGCTCTGTTCCCATGTGTCATCAGATAGACATCGTCGTGGTAAGAGTTGCGAGGTTTCTTTTAGGATTTTATCATACCAACAGACTTCTTTATAAGTATCGCCCATTCTGCAGAATGCCGATAAACAAATAAATAAATAAAATTATAAATATCATAATTGAAATAATCGTTATGTTAATTTTATACACTGATGTAATAAAGATTTATTATATTCTCGTATTATATTTAGAATTATTTCAATATAAAGAAAAAATTAAAAACAGTTCTAAAATACATTTTGCATAAAGTTTCTATAAAAAATTGAATTTCCTACTTACAAATGGCAGATTTGATTTATAATAATATCACCGTCTCCCAATAATTCCACATCGAATTTGAGTAGCAATGACTCTCGATTAATAAGAATCTGCGGCACATGCGATGGAATGGATGAAGGAATTAGAGCTACCGGCCGAACCTTCAAGGACGATCCGATAACGATTAGAAGATCGCAATCATCTTTGTCTTTGGCCATCGCGTCGTGAAAAGCATCTGGGAGCCCTTCACCGAAGAAGACGATATCTGGTTTCATTATACCTTGCTTCACCAAATCTGAGAATTAGAAAAAGAAAATGTTTAATTTATTTTCATTATCAATGTAAATGAATTTTGGACTAAACAGTTATCTAGAATGGCATTTTACGTTCCGCTCAATCGTAACATGATATTGTCAAATTGAGGAAACGACAAACGGTCTAGGACGATAAACGACAAAATTGTTGCTCGAAATAGCCGCGGAACACAGCACTCACACAGGTAAGTGCAATCTTGTTTACCTTTATGCGCTTATTAACAAGCGAAGTTTTATTCGCAGTTACGATTGATGTATCAACTTATGTTGGATCAGTAACTTCATTTAGTTTGAGACACATTCCGAGAAGAACAGTAGATAACATTTTCTCATTAGCCATCGACTCGCGACATTATAGCAAAGGCTAATAATGGTAAACTATCGTTAATGACAGTTAACCTTCCGTATCATACCGAAATTGTTAAGCCATTATGAAAGACTGCAAATAAATACACTATCAGAAAGGATTATGTAAAAACAAATTGTTCTATTTACCTCTGTAGTTCTCGCTACAATTCACTTCGGACAAAGAAGGCAATGCGTTGACACGGCATTTCGGACATGTGGGTATTCTCTGTGCGAAGATATCTTCCCTGATGTCGTTCGCTTTGACTCGATATTTACATCTTGTACATGAAGCAGTGGCAAAAGAGCCTGTAACAGAAAACAACCAAGAATTGTAAAACGATACAAAACAATTTATTAAATTTATATAAAAATTAGGATCTCTCGGAAGGAGAGAAAGAAACTTTTTCGAATTTGATGAAAATTTTATCTATTTTTCTATCATATGTGGTCTGCAATTTTCCAATTGTCAAAACATCAAAAATTATAATCAATTAATATTAATCAATTAATGATATATTTATTATAAGATATACATATTTACAACAAAATATGAGTATCAAATTTTATGTGAAAATTAATGTATTTAAAGATCTACATAAAATAAATATTATATTTACCATGACATTCAATCACATTTTTTATACCGGCGACCTGTTCCAAAGTATCAATATTTTGCGTGTAATTTCTCAAAAGCTTCTTTTGCTTATCTAACATTTTAATGAACCTATGACAAGGACTGGGTTTAAATTGTCCTGGGTATATTTCGCGTGCAAATTTGTAGAACGGCCTCGGATCTCGGCTAAAATAATTAATATCGAACATAGCCTAGAAATAAATTAAAAAGTATGTTAGAAATTCTTTAATTATAAAATTTTGTCAAGATATTAAGAGAGTTAAAATACTAAGCTGCTAAAAATACTAAAAATTGCTTATAATTTAAACATTTATGAATACTGGATAATTTTAAAGTACCTGTGGATCTGGTAAGTCTGGAAAATCTTGTGCTAGTCGTGAATAAATACCGTCTCTACTTCTAAAATCAGGAATACCACAGCTGACACTAACACCTGCGCCAGTCAATACTATAATTTTCTTGCTATCGCGAATTAATCGCACTACATCTGATAAGGTATTTATGTGTTTGAGTTTCTGCCGTTTTGGAGGTTCAGACATCATATTGATTATAATCTAAAATTACCACGTTCAATTGTTATATTTATGTAGAAAATTTTTTCTAGCAAATCTTATCATAAATCCAAAAAAATATTTTTGTACCTTCCATAATGTGATGTCATCAACCTGTTCAGGAATCTGTGTGGAATCCATGAAAAGATGATGTAGTAGAGCCCTAGGGTCGACACCCGTTAACATCTGTCTTTGAATCCATGAAGTAGTATCATTTCTCCATTGATGATTGACTGCTTCTCCAGAAAGATCAGACAAACCTGATAAATCTGACAAATTTGATACAGTGGAGGATATTTCATCTTTCTCATCTGCAGTATCAATTCTGAAATAAAATTAAACCATAAAAAATTTTAAAACGATCAAATGTAAAATACAAGACATAAAATTATAAATATTATATCATAAATATTATATAAGTTACAGACTATCTTCATATGATGATCATTAGAAATATTGAATTTAATCTTTAATTTCTTTAGAGTTCATTGGGGTTTTACATAATTAAAAATGTAAAATTTTATTATAAAATTTAATTTAGAATTTATTAAGATATGATTATCTCACATGCACTTTAAATATAAAAATTATTTGTATTGAAACTTACGGGCAACCAGTATCATTACTGGTGGAATCAATTTTTGATGACGGTGATATTAAATTTGTAGTTGTGGGAGATATAGAAGCTGATTTCGATTCATCACTCATTTCGTTGAATCCACTATCTGTGCCAAGTGCTTCTGTATAAATAATAATAATAATTTATTTACATCATTACAATTTATATTATTTTCTAATTTATATCCGCGATTTTCTAATTTATATCCTTGGATTATAATAAAATTTTTAGACAATTAGTATTTATTTAAGCATTAGGTAGATATTTTTTGTGTTATTATTTTATTTTACTACATTTTTTATATATAATTTGTATATATTTAATATGATCAAAGAAAAAAATTTATCTTAACATTATTAAAACAATATTGCTGTATTGATACTATATACATTATTTGTAGCCATTTATTAATAAACCAATTTCTGAGGTGTTTTACTCACTACGCTATATATATATATAACATGTACACAAGATATTTATACCATAAAATTGTGTATTGCATATAAATCATATATTAGTAGATAAATTATATACCAATAAAAAGAATGCCATCCAAAAGTTAATTGGTTATCCCGCCTAAAGTTTCAACACGATAAAATGGCAGAAGCATAGCGCGCGATATGTAAAGTCTGTTCTTTATTGAACAGACACACATTCATTGTAATTAAAATAATAGATAATAAGTTTGTTCTTTTTAGCTTGCACCATTCATTTTTCTCTTTTTTTCCCAACATGGAGAAAGAATAGACTTAAAGTTCAGTTGTCGCTCTGCCATATTGAATTATGACGTCAGAAGCGAGAAATGACGTGTAAAAAGTTTCTTGCATCGTATAGCTTTATCTTGTACTTTTCCCTTAAAAACATATTTTCTTAAAACTTGTAAAAAATATCAGAAAGATATCTGTCCAATAAATCACATAATGATGTAAAATAATTCTTGAAATAATGGTACACTGCTTAGCTACCAGAAATTACCAGATCACTATCTGACTTAGCTATCAGAAATTACCAGATCTAGTTGTTTCTGATAGCTGAGCAGTGACCATTATTCCAAGAATTATTTTATACTTTTACGTAATTTATTGGACAGATCTTATGTTCTGATATTTTTTACAAGTTTTAAGAATATGAGCTAAATCTATATGCAAAAAACTTTTCACATATCATTTCTCGTCTCTGATGTCACATAACCAATGTCGCGCCGCGAAAGAATCGAGCCCTAATACATTGGAGATTGAGTAAGTCAGATAAAAATAAATTTTATTGTCCAATCCAGTGCAGTGATAAAAAAAAACTCATTTTTTTTAATGTGAAAATAGATCACATGATCAGAGTTGACGCAAAATAATGAAATAATTACTTTTGATCATGTAACCTATTTTGCGCTTAAAAATTAATGATAAGTGATGAATGAAAAGATTCTTTAATTTTAATTTCAGTTCCATTTTTGCCCTTTATTCTCTTCTAATTCATAAAATTATATAATATAAAAAATGAATTTAACCGAAACCAAAATTAGTTTACATTAGTGAAAATAGGAGTCTGTTTTCGAACCCAGCCAAAAACTTCAATCGGAACGTACAGTTAATCGCTACTAAAACGAACAGACCAGAGACGCGCATTGATGAAGAGGAGCACAGAAATCGAATATAGAAAGAGCAACTAAAAACGAACCTACCCAATGCGAATGCCATCTGTGAACACTAACGAGAGCGCGCACACCAGCTATCTTCCAATACGATCGATCGATCAACGCCCCGAATCTCAAACGAATCGAGAAATCATGCGGCGAAAATTAAAGAATGAGAAAATAATAAAAATCCATCTCGCGAAATCGGTTGGCGTAAGACATCCCTATTCGCGATCGATCGTAAACGCGAAACGTGGCTAAAACGAAATTACGACGCAATTCGTGGAGACTGTCATGGCGGCCGTGGACTCGTCGGGCGACGAACGAGAGACGCGGAAGACGTTGGGCGAAAAGGCGCTCGATGGCCGCCATCTTGCGCGCGAGGCACCCGCGAATTTCGTGGTATTTCGCGCGATCGCGCGTTTATTTAGAAGATTATCGATACCTTCGAGGTCGCCGTGCGGGCTATCGCGCGGTGTCGTGCCGGGCTGCGGATCCACCAGTGCCGCGCTGATGCTCCCGTGACCGTCGCCCTCGACCTTACGGCGCTTCACCGGGGACGAATATTCCAGCAGCTCTGAGCTCGACGCCATTTTCGACAGCAATGCAACGCATAGTGCGATGCACTCTGGCCCTCGCTCGCCGCGCTCCAGAGGTCGCTCCGGCCGTCCTGTCCTTCCCCTCCCCGTCGCCTCGTCCCACCGTTCGGTTGTCTCCGCCCTTTCCGCCACTTCGTGTCACTTGGCACGTCCCTTCGCGTGTCACTTCGCATCACTTCGCGTCGATGACATATCTTTAGATGTATGAAGCGATGAACTTTATTCTAACTTAGGATGAGCCTTATCTCTATGCTATTCTGTAGAAATTGCGATCCCAATTTTAATTGTGAAAATGGACAGATATAGGCTCCTATTTTTTTTAATGCCATGGTATGCGTGATTGGTATGCTGATGTGTATGGTGTGTAACAGCGCCAACCAATCAGTGAATCTGACGAAGTAGCGAACTCACTGTGTATTATACATATATGTGTGTGATGGCGGAGATACCCCCACTTCTTTCCAGTGAAAGATCTTTCCAGTGAAGTATAGAGCTCAAAACGATGATGATAAATAAACGGATAACTTTTCCTTCGTATTCGCCTCTGCACAATTGCAAAATGTCATTGTCTTTTTGATGGGAATTTTTATTATTGATACGTATTACAAATATACAGAAATTTATATACGGAAATTTGTTACAGAAATTTACATAAATGAAAAAAATAAAAGAAAAAGAAAATGTCTACCGATCTCATACACAGCTTGTTTAATAAAGAAAAAGATTTATAGGGAGATTTTTACAGTTTTCTTTTTTTCTTTTTAAAGTAGATTATTTTCCACATATTTCGAATTATATAAAATATTTTTGAACATGTTCAAAGAAAAAAATGGAATATATGGCTTTCTCACGTTGGAATGGTTAGAAGCGGATAAACTTTCGATTAATAGATATTCAAGAAATAATTAAATTTTTAAAATATTTCCTTACATCGCATTTTCTATCTGTAGTCTTGATTTAAAATAGATAAAAAAATGTGATAAATTATTATAAACACATTTATCATACATCATAATGTATGTATGTAACCATACTGACACCAAAAGCTGAAAATAGCATTGAAATCTTTGAAGTGCTGTCTTGTGTAAGAAAAATATTTTTTACATTATTTTATTCTTTCTTTCTTGAGAAACAATTACAATTAAATAATTTCTTGGAAAAT